ACGTCTTGACGAATAAATTTGTTACGTTATGTCGTCTCTTTTTTAATTGTAACATATATATTTAGTATGTTTGTTTGTAAATTGAATTAAATTTCATTGATGTTGGTTTGTGTTTTTATAGTTATTATTCGAGCTGTTTTTATTTTTAAATTTTATGTGGTATAGTATTTTTGCATTTTGATACGCATTTGTTTGATTTCTTGTGTTTTGCTATTGTGTTGGTTAGTGATATGGGATTTAACTAGTTTATTATTCAATAAATGGCTGCCATATGTTTGTATGACTATATGTTTTAGGAAATATATTCACACAAATTGATGATGTCGCTAGTGATTCATCTATCGCTCCAACACTATGAAAATTGTAAAAGTCGGCATGAGAAAACAATTAAAAACATTAAACCAACATGTTACATTCCTTATGTTGAAGATATACTACATTTTCCGGTATACAAGATGAACTTTTTTCCTAAAAAATACCCTGAAAAATACGTGTCCGTCTTCCAAGACGAATGTAAGACCCAGGCTCAAGTAAGCTTGGACGGTCACCTTGACTAATAGAGGCGTGGATTTGTATGTTGAGTCATTACACTATAATGTTAGGTATCTATCTAATTCATAATTTTATATGAGGTAACCTCAGTACTTAGCTTTTACAAGTTTTTCCAAGCCTATAAACCTTCCTGGAGCCGAGCCACAAGCTTAAACATGATCTGTTTACTAGCAGCGGCGGTAGCCTTTCTATTCTATACTAAATCGGACGAGTGATTAGTGTAAACAATACGTGGCGCCAGTATGTGAGGAGAGCAATATGAATGTATTGTTGCTTGATAATGACTTTTTTTCTTAGAATTTTCTTTCTAATATTAGGGTGCGTCTTCCGATCTGCAGAGTCTTATAAGCTGGAAAATACTGTACTTATATTAACTCAAAATATGGACGAAATTAAAAAGACCGTAAACAAACTTCGGAAATAACACATATATATAATTATATATGTATTAATCAATTCAAATAATAACTTAAAATTCCGCTCATAAAATAAAAACCAAACTCAAACCAGAGTCTCCTAAACTGCAATGGCCAATGACCGCACAGATAGAAAAATATAAAACAACTATTAATTAACAAGAATTACCCTAACCATGGAACAGAAAATAAATCTACTCTTTGACATAAAATGCCAATTCTACAAATTATAATAACAACATATTCTGCAATAAACCTCAAGACAGGAAACTTGAAAAAAACGTCATGTCACTTACTAATGCGGGAAGACGCCACACATGAAAACTACCAAAGAAGCACAATGCATAGTTATAGGAATAAGTTATAGAAATAAGTTATAGAAATAAGCATGTCAAACTATAAAAAAAATCCTTTGATAATAGTTTCTTAAATGCGAAATAGCTCAGAGGACATTGCATAAAAAAATCATGTTCCAGTTCTACCCGGGAACCAGACTAATGGTCCCAACAGAAGAAATATCAAATAAATCAAGCAAGAACTTTCGTTGGTGTTCAACCAAACAGACACACACAAAAAAAAAACACACACACACGCTAGAGATGCGTGTATAGTCGTTTCAGTTTGTTATTAGTAGTACACAAATGTATATTTTTTAATATTTATATACAAATTGAATGCTGCTAAACGTTTAGCGGCATTCAATTTTGTTTTTGAAATGATAACGAAACTATCGTAACATAAAGATACAATACATTTTTTTTCCTTTTCTCATCCATACCCCTGACAACTTGCCATTTGAGTCGAAGGTTTTGACTATACGAATAGAAATTTCGGACAATTTATCCATACACCACAACAAAATTTTTTAAGAATATTCGTACATTACAATAAAATCATTCATTGTAATAGTAGGCATAAACATATTTAAAAGAACATCTGCTGTCCAAAAATACCGATTTAAATATAAAGTTGGAAGTAAATGCACACGCGCGCACACACACACACACACACACACAAACAGACATACACACACACAAACAGACACACACACACACACATATATATATATAATTTTAAGAATATCTACATATATATGTAAAGACGTTTAAATATATGAATCTCTTTCCTTTTCTGTATCTGTGTTCGTGTGTGTGTGCGTGTACGCATGTGTACGTGTGTGTTATAATTTCGAGAGAGATTCTGCTGAAGCAAGCAGAGTTTCATCCGTCTATCTGCCTTGTCAACCAAGGTATTAGTTTGTGAGGAATCAGAAATGATAAAATTGCTTAATGATCATTGTTGAAGACAACAATCAAAAACCTGTATCTCTACATAGCAAGAAATCTGAAATCACGTAATTGGCCTATAGTTGCTCACTGTAGTTAAGAATTCCTTTTTTGGTATCTCTTTTAGATGAGGATTTTTCTACCACTTGAATTTCATCTTCATCAGCCGATTATAACATTAATAGGCCAGTCGTCCATGTTGCATGGTACCCAACTTAAACTCATATGCTCGAATTCTATTAACGTCTAATATTTTCCAATTGACTATTTCTCGGAAATTTTATTTAATTCCACATTTTCTGACGATTTTTTTTTTGTTTTTTTTTTATTCAGAAGTTATATATTTCGTCTTAGACTTTGTTTCTTTTTTTCTGTTTATGCTTCCATAAAATGTCCTTTGAATGTTTGACAAGAGTGGTGTGGCGTGTGATTGATAATTCATTCTTTATACTTATTTAGTCCTACTTATTTAGAAATATTTGAGAGTATTTTCCACTAGTGCGGCTATTTATTTTTGGTTTATTTTGTATGTGCCACATAATTTGATACGTGGTCCGTTCTGGGATAATTTTTTCAATCTTATTTCCCAAGCTAGTTTGTAGTGATTAATGTCGAGTTTTTTCATTGCATTATGAACATTGCTATCACCATTTTTGTACCAGCGTAGATGAGGTCATTGAGTCTTCATTATAATAACAATAATAATAATAGTTTACTATGTTTTAAAACCCATTTTTACTCCTTTCCATTACTTGTCCCTAACTGATGGGAAGTTTTTCTACTTTTCCTGCATTGTTATTTGAAGTTTTTCTATTTGAACCTTTTCATTGTCATTTAGGATCGTAGTTTCTGCACCTCGTATTTCGATTTGTTTTTTTGTTTATTTTTCAACAGTCATCCTTTATTAGTTTTATGATATTAATAACTTCTTTAGGAAGATCATGTTCTTCATACCTGATTATATCAAAAGATTCCAGACATTCAATGTCTGATATCAAGTTAATTTCTTTTGTCTTCACTTGATGTTTCTTTTATTTATTTTTTTTTTTTTTGTTATTTCTATGTTATCAACATCGGGCGGTACGGTGGAATAATGATTAAGGAATCGGACAGCCGAGTTCGAATTCCAGTCAAATTCACTTACGTACATTCACTTACGTGCTAATAAATACCCTTAAGAAAGCTTCTTCTCCCTCCATCTACAGGTAAATAGCACGACAGACCGGGTTCTATAGAACTTGGATGGAAATTGGTCTACCGCAGAAAGAAATGCGCGGCAAAATCTTCCTCGTCAGTCATCGAAAAGATACATGATCGCCTAAGCGTGTATCACACATGACACATAACTGACTGTTATCAATATCGGCTGAAGATGGGAATGCATGATTTGCCTCGGAGGTAACAAAACAGGTAACTAATTTGCTAACTTTATTACAATTTCTCTTTTGTTGCTCAACAGTCACTTGACAACGACTGTACCTCAATCGTGGTCATAATATTTGCGATTTTCATCCGTAGTGTAAAGCTACGCCGCACCCAGTCAAATTGGCTGAGTACAACTGATTTCGGTGTTCCCCCGGCCCTGAAGACCTATTGTATCTCGTGTACTGAGACATGCGTGGAATGGAAATAGCAAAACAGAATGTGAATTCTACATATTACCTGTAGAAATAATATTAAGTTTATATTATTATATGATATTTCTTTTACTTGAGTAACAAAGTATTAGAAACAGACTTGATATCAAATGCTTTTGGTAGATTTACAATGTTCACTTGATACCCTTTTTGCAAAACTCATATTCTACCCGGTTTGATATGACTTGATGTGGGGTGGATAATTCATGAAAATATATTCAGTCATACGTACTTATGTTCACACCGTAACTATCTGGAGGTATATGTGTGAAGTAACAGCAAATCTGAAATTTCCAGCATCTTCTTTAGTAATACTGCCAACCCAACAACTTTTCCCAAATTTTCAATTGTTGTACCTGTTGTTGTTGTTAGTGTTGCAGTTGTTCTATTTTATTTTGATTGTAAATTTTCAGAATTGGTTGTCTACTTTGATTGAAAGTAATTTGTATGTTTTTTTTCCCGCCAAATGTATTAATTCTGCTTTTGAAAGCGATTTGTTGTTTTGGTTATATTTTTATTTTTACTGATTACTCTTTTTCATTTTATCATTTCCTTGTTCTTCCTGTTGCTTCTTTTATTATTATTATTATTATTTATTATTATTATTATTAATAGTAGTAGTAGTAGTAGTTGTAGTAGTAGTCGCAGTTGTAGCAATATAGATAGTAATATTATTGTATCTACGGATTTTCCTGGCAGTAATATGCAGTCTTTTTTCGAGAACTTAAGTGACAACAAGTCTTCACTAATCTACAACAGCCTCTTAAGAATTAATTTCTTTTATCATCTTTACTTTTTCTTGCCATTATCATTATTGAGATTTCCGGTGAACATAAAAATGAATCAAGTGACAACAAGTATAATTGTAAATATTACTATTTTTGACATGACTTTTGTTCTTACTGATTGCTATGAATATTTCCCTATTGTTTTTTTTTAAGTTTTTCAATCAACAAACAAAATCTCTTTTTTTCAGAATATTTTGTTAAATTTTCACAAGTGTTTATTCAGTAATGAATAATAAAATTAATTAATATCATACTGTCATTAATTGTCTTTTTCCATTGAGGTGTTTTTGTTTAAATTTTTCTCTTTTTTTTCTTTTTAAAATGTTCGGTTTTCTTTCGTCTTTGGCAGCCATTTGCAAGGCGCTTGACGCCGTCACTTTCGCGGTCGTTATTGGCGGAGGAGGTGTGTTCAGTGAAAAGAGGCATGCAATAACAACGAATTGCTCTCTTAGCATCACAGGGACAGCGATGGTGGCGAGAACGGCTGCTGCTGTTACTTTTCAATTCGATAATCACAATCTGCCATCGCTCGTCAACGCCGAAATTTTTTTTTTTTTAGTGTATTTTCCTTTTGGTTTTGTCTCTCTTACCATTTATAAGATTTCGCACTTCCACTTTTTTAACGCCACCAATCATTATCTACCTATCTATCTATCTATCTATCTATCTATCTATCTATCTATCTATCTATCTATCTATCTATTTCAATTTCAGTTAATTCTACACGCCAATTCCTGTTCAGTTTCCTTCCTTCCTTCCTCCATCCCTTCCTTCCTTTCCATATATAAATGTATATAATTGTTTTGGGGAGCATCTATATCTTTTCATATCTATCTGTTTATTGACATTTACCAGTGTATCTCATTTTTCTTTCTCTCTCTTTTTCTCTGTCTCCTTGAAAAGCATCGATTTCGAATATTAATTCTAACGCAAAAACTAAATTAAAACCTGTATTCTTAGTTTGGCGTTATATAATCTCGTTTTCTTTGTTTTAGTTTTTACTAATCTATTACATAATTTTCTCGGATACTGTAAAATATTTTATCAAAAATATTAAATATGTTTGAATGGATTAAGTAAAATAGTTAAGTAAAAGTGAAAATAGAGATTTGTGTTATTTTCTTAGATTCGTTGAAATGTTTTAGTTTGTCTAAAATTAATGACAACTATACAAAAAAATTTATTTGTGATTTAAGATTATTATATAAATTCAGGCAAATTTTAACGCTGCGCTAAATTTGTTAAATTTTCTAATGATTTAAATTTTTATAAAAATATACAAAAAGAACTTATTGAAAATTGTGACGTTTTCAGAAGGAATTACAAATTTAGTTAAGTCTTTAGATACTTTTGGAATCAAATAATGTATTCTTTCAGAAATTCTTTGAATTAATTAGAGAATATAAAAATGGTGATGTTTTAAAATAATTTATTTTAAGCACTGTTATTATCTGATAGATCAACAGCAATATTTTTTTAAATATATGTAAAAGTAATACTGCATTTGAAGATCCCGGAAGTAGCGAGTACGTGAGCTAGTGTTTATAATTCCATTATTGTGTTTGTAAACAGCCTGCCTCGATGAATATCAGGAATATTTAAATATAATTATTTTAGAATTTTGGTGTTTTGAAATAGGATCATCATTAATGTATGTTTGTACGCGCGCACGATTGTGTGTGTGTGTGTGTGCGCGCGCGCGCAGCTTTTTTGTTCTTTTGACTTGCCGTGCTTTTTTAAAGCGTCAAATAAAATTTGGGACGCCAACGGCGCAAGGGAGGTAACTCTATGCTAACACTTTCTGCCAAGGAGGGAAAGGACCAGTATAATTATCCACCTTTAATAAGTTAACGATATGGAAGGTGAAATGAACGACCGAGAGACGATGAAATTTCACAATTCAGTGTGAATTAATTAATGAAACAATGTTAAAAAAATTAAAAAGACTAATTGTAGAATAAAACGAATAAAGGAAATAATGGAAATTGAATTTTGATTCTAATGCAAAGGTAGAACTATAATCGTGAATTTAGTGTGATTTATATAAGCAAATATTCAGGTAAAAATTATAGAATAACCTACACATGAATTATTGTTTCCGTTACCTGATATCAGTACCAAGTAGTAAGCAATGTGAAAAATTCAAAAATGATCGTAAAACGTTGTGAAATAAATCCATTTATAAAATTTAGGTCAAATTAAATTTGTCATTGACTAATTTCGCGTAAAATGTATATTCATTTGTTTATATCGCAGATTAGCGTCACGATTAGAAAATGATTCCAATCACATCATACCTACTCTATTATAATAACTTTTATATAGAATAAAAATACGGATTTTATACAAAATAGTAACATGGATGCGCATCACCGTTTGCAAAGATTGAAAAAGTGGACATTTTTGGCATGTTTACACTTAATATTTACTTTTAATTTCTTCATATAAATATTACAGTTGATAGGCACTTTAAGAACGTCAGTTACCGCATAATTTCATTTATAAGTTGATGTTTAATGATCAATATTTGAGACAGAAATACAATAGTTCAAATTTTGATTCGTTCTTGTAGGATAAACAATTTTAACTGTCTTGAAGGAAAAACGAAACGATCAAGAGTTACTCAGCAAAGCACAAGAAGTTGTGGAGAGCCATGACCGTTGACATTCTAAAAGAACATGATACATCAATGAAGTATCCATTAAAAATAGTTTGCATAAAAGAAAGTAATAATTTTAAAGTTAGCCTATTCATATCCTTATCTTATGTGACGCTATTTTATATATATATATATATATATATATATATATATATATATATATATATATATATGAGTGTGTGTGTGTGCACATGCAAGTGGAAACTAGAGTCAACAACGAGTGGCGACAGTTTATTTCATGTTTGAACGCAATTTTTAAAGCTGAAATTTGCATGAAATCGACTGTCGTCACTCGGTGTTGATCTCAGTGTACACTCTTACATTTTCACACACAATATTTCTGATATTAAACAATTTTCCCCATAAATATAAATCATAAAATGATATATTTTATATAAATATATATATATTTATATATATATATATATATATATATATATATAGTGTATATTTAGGCAGCAATTTTTCATTAATGCATGTTTCATTAAATAATATAGACAAGTTGTGTCTATTTATTTTAAGTAAATTCCTTTCATATTGTCTGATAAACTTAATCACATTATCATTGAAAGACTAAAGGAAAACGCCATACTGATATATGTTTAAATCCAATCTAAGCTTTCGGCTTATATAAGCCATTATCAAAGATGACAATTTCAATATATCAAACAACAGACGGACGAAACAACAATGATAGTCCACCCTTGCTGCATGAAAAAATTTCAAAGAAAACTCAAACCCGTGTATACGAGACGCGGAGGCGAAAATCGCGTCGCAGCTCGTAGTGTCGCACATGACCACGCGAGAGTGAAAAACGAGAAGTATTAAGTATGGGACGCCGCTGGTATACACCAATGGGTTCTATTATAAATTATAGGCATTTAAGAATATTTGTGGAGATTTCATATGTTATTTTGTTTAGGTTAGGTTTCAACTGTTTTAAGCTTCAAGAATTTTTAATTTTTGTTTATTTTTTTCATGTTTAAGTATAGTTGTGTTGTCAACAAGGATTTACCCATACTTAATACTTATACTATTATTATAGTTATTTTAGGCTATTACACCGAAAACATATAAAATTGCTACACAATTGCAGTGATGTTTCATCTCATATCAATCTATCTTATCAGGCCATTATAAATTACTGACGAGTGAACTAATTTTTTTTTTATTTAAAAGCGAAATACAACCTCTTTTTTCGAAAAAAAGAAGATTATAACTCTTGAGGCCTTTACCCCGATCAGCCAATCAAATAAAAGCAAAATTAGAATTTAAAAATTAAAAAGCAAAAATTGAAAATTATTTTTATAAATGGGTCATGACCCGTAGGTTGTCTGTTGACAACAGCCAGACATTAAAGTTAAATCTGATAAATATTGTTACATAAAATATACAAACCAGAGAAACCAGGGTTCCTCTTAGGGAACTGTTTATCAGTTAAATGGATGATACTTCTATTTTTCGAGACAAGAGTTTGTATTTTGCTTTTAAATCCAAATAAATCTTTAATTCGCCAGTAATTTACAATCGCCTGTTGAAACACATTGGTATGCGTTGAAACACGGCTGCAATTCTGTAGCAATTTTACATTTTTTTATGCAATATCCTAAAATAAAAAAAATACTGAATATAGCCCTCTTTTAATTTAAATGTTACGAACGTTAGCATACTACTCTACACGTTCTCATCATACACATATATATGCACACACACACACACACACACACACACACACACACACACACACATATATATATATATATATATATATATATATATATATATATATATATATATATGTGGTATAATTCGACAGCAAGAATTTTATCAAACATTTTGTTAAATAATATGAACCAAATTTTATTAATTTTTTCAAATTTTCGATTAAGTTGTTTTGTGTTATCGGTACATGTCATATCAACATTCATATCAATATTTATTTTATATTATTTTTACAAGTACTTTCGAATATTGTTACATCAGCTTTTTAATTCCGGCGTTTTCACTTTTGATGAAACCAATTTTAAGTGCTTCAAGTTAGCGTCATATAAACGGTTAAATTGAAAATATATATATATATATATATATATATATATATATATATATATATATATATATATATATATATAATTTGTCTGTGTAGTGTTTATGTGTGTGTTTTATATTAAACATACCCCAGTGTACGGTCCTCTATTTATATGACGTCACCATATATATATATATATATATATATATATATATATATATATATATATATATATCAAATTACCGTATCAGCACAAAAATATGTAATTGTTTAGATTTTGGCCTTTGAATTGTAAATTTTGTTTTTTTTACTAATTTATGAACTTTCAACATTTCAATTTTCACTATTGAAATATACACCCAGATATGATCACCTCTTTTAGGAAATGAATTGTTCGTGGCTTATTTGTTTTTAGATGACAATTTTAGTTGATGTCAAAAAAAAAAAAAAATGAATCGTAGTTTCCGTTAAGTGTCGGAAGGGATTATATTTTGCAACTTCTATTCTGGAAATGTTCCATCTAAAAATCCTTACACTTGAAACCAAATATAGGGAAGCCCATTCCTTTAGAAAGCACATAGAACATTTTTTAGACAAAAAAATCAGAAATGGGACAGAATTGTAAGGTGCAAACATGCTACGCATCTGACACAGTGTGACACCATTTACCAGGACAAAAAGAAAAAAAGGAAAAAGAGAAAGGAAAGAAAGGAAAAGAGAGGCGAGACTTAAGCCTAGATGATAAAAGAAGCCACCAACGACCGGGGACATTGACAATGTTATTTCGATAAGTCGCAAATGGTGAAAGGTTTCATTACCATCGCAGAAAAATTCTAAATGGATAAGAAAATCGACTATGTTCTGGTGGCGAACTTGTGTTATCGGGGATAGATAACAGCCACTTAATGCTGACGAACATCTAATTGACAAATTCCAGATCGGCTAGCTAAACACCGGGAGAATATATAAACATTTAACTGTGTCACGGACTGCTGACCACCCACGAACTAAGGAAAACAAATGGAAATAGGTTAAGTCTTCGTCGAGGGAAAGATATCGTTAGACAAGGTCTGGGTTTTGTTAGAATGTAGCGATAAGGGCGAAACAATATTATCAGAAGGGTTGGCTGTAATTGCTGGACGACCACCCATTCTGATAATTGCTAAAATCTGACTGACGAAGTCCAGATGAGAATTGAGGTTATCACACTACTGGCCGCATTGTTCTGTTGGCGGCCATAGAAGATGAGAGCTGCGATCAAGGAAAGAAAAGGAAAAGAAAAAGATAAATTTTTTTTTTGAGCAAGATGTATTTTTTTTTCTTCCTAAAACAAAGCCAGCTGGATCACACACACCCGGCTGGACGCCATTGGCCGAGTGATAACGAGGGCCAGGCGGAGGTGATCACGTGAGGAAAGGCGGGAAGCCGCCGCCGCCCATTTAGAGGATAGGTATAAGAAGTTGCTGCGAGGAAGTGGGGAGAACCGTTGACGCCCCTCTGAAGTATGATGAGAATAAAGAGAAGGTGGGAGTAAGAGAAGACTTCCAAAAATGGAAAGGAGTGGAAAATTCCTGACCAAAAATAAAAGAAGTGGATATGGATTTAGAATTATCGAGAAACCTCCAACGCCGACAAACCCACCACGGTTTTGGTCGGCGTCCATATAAGCAAAGTCGCAGCGAGCAAAGATCAGTTCCGAGTTCAGCAGAGAAGAGTTCAGAGTTGAGTTCAGTTCAATCCAGAGTGCTCAGTTGAAGCAGGCCTCGCAGCTGACTAAGATTCACGCAACTTCCGAACTCATCTTCAATCCAAGAACAATTTATTTTGAAGAGCGACTTAGATCCACACCACCAAAATAAGTTTTTTCGACTTTCGCCTGAAGACACACCAAGAACCAATTTCTTAAAGAACAGACAACTTAAACTCGCCTAACAAAAGAAAACAACGTGTCACAATCCTTATAGCGGGTCGGGAGATAGACGCTGTCCTATGTATCCAGCAACCAGATATAAAGTATTGTTATCCTTTTTTTGATACCTTGAACTTTTGAGTTATCATTTTATTTTCTTTTATGCATAATTGTGTGATATTACCCTCGTTTGAACTCACTTTGCATTACGGCCCCAACGACTGATTGATTTCGTCTGCCTAAGATCAATTCACAACGTGGGTAGGCGGACTGGAGATCAACGCAGTTACTTTGGTAACCAGACGTTGGAAGCGAGTTGGGAACGACGAGGCTGATATCGAATCTAACCAGATTCCCATCCGAATCACCAAAAGGTTAGAACGTCACATTTGGGGGCCGCGACCGATACCAAGCCAGTTGGTCGTCACAGGACGGGACAACACGACTGACGCAACAGGCGGACGTCACGTTTGGAGCGGCGACACCCGAACGAAGCAGCGAGGAGCGAGCGAAGGCTGTGTTGAGGGACGTCACAACAGTATTTAAAAAGATTTACCAAATATTGTTGCCTATTCAATTTTTAAGCCACGTCGGAAAATGTCCTACTTCGACGCAGGTTCTGCGAATAAACAACATTGTGCATTGTGTTTATTAATTCTGCCGTTGAGGTAAAATGTAGCATAACTGCTGTAAAACAAAAATGACACTACTAATTTTGAGACTAGCTATCTATCTATCTCTAGCTCTCTCTCTCTCTATATATATATATATATATATATATATATATATATATATATATATATATATATTATGTGAATAAGTATATTTTGGATCTTGATTTGTTTTTAACATTGATGAAAATATGCTTTACGGTGATATTTTAAGACATTTTCGTGTGAATCTCGTTAGACTGAATGAATTTGGCTGATGGCAATATTACTCTCTCCCCGCCTCACTCTCTCAGATTCTGTGTGTTTGTGTGTGTGAGAGAGTGAGAGAGTGAGAGGAGAGAGAGAGTGGGAGAGTGACAAGGAAAGGGAGAGAGAGTGGTTTGAGAGTTTCATTTTTGACGCTAGGCAGACTAATGCCAGCTCTTAAACACGTTTAATAGTTTATGTCCATTAATATCCAATGGAAAATAATTGGCTACGTAAGATGTTGCCCTTAGGATATCTACACGTACCTATCAAAATATAAATGCACCCATAAATTGCTATGCAACTATTGAGATGTATGTATATATGACCATCAATCTATCTATCTATCTATCTATCTATCTATCTAAATGGTAGTTGTTTTTTACGGCAGAAATATTTTTATCACTTGGGCCATTAACGTTATCCGCTTTGTACTCTCAAGTTGAGGCCTAAGTTTATTAACTATGGAATAATATTAACTTAAGCGGATTGAACTAAAAATATCTTACTAATTTATGAAACGGTAAAAACTAATTGAATGTCTTTAGTTTTATTTGGAAATCCTTATTTTATATCACCCGCATTCCCTAGCTCCGAATTGTCTAAGAAAAAGACACGAAGCAAAGTCCATTTTCTCATTTCAACTAGGCAGGAAAGGGAAAATGATTTTACATAAAATGCTTCACGTTGGTCTTTACTAAAACCGCCAAATGCATTTTTTGCTTAATTTTCCCTCTTCTACTAATTTAGCTCCAACCGCTGATCATCATGGTGGAGACTGAGTTCTTGTATGCTCTTCTCCAATTCTTTACACACTCAGAAGATTTAATTGTCTGAAGAAAAAAATTAAAAACTTCCTATAAAATAGAATCTCGTTTTTTGTTTTTTTTTTCCTTTTTCGAATCCTCTATATCGTTATTGCTTCAAAATAATATTCAACGGGAGATTTTTTCTTTTTGATTTCGATCATCCGGTAAAGACCAAATTCACTATGAAGGGCTTGCAAATTTGCCTTGTCAATCGTACTTATGCAAGGATAAGCCATAACCTATATTTGCATCGATACAAAAAGCTTAGTTTATTTGAGCCGCAATAAGACAGCATCCACTGACAGTGGAACTCATGGATTCTGAGACTATTTCATTTACTATCATTCTACAGAAGGCATCAAGTAGCTTAATCAAGTCTGGCGCAGAAACTCAATAAAGAGACACCAGTGATGATCTTACTTATTATAAAACGCAGATTGTGTGTGTGTGTGTACGTTTATATATTGGATCGGATTTCCTACATTTTTCAACCGATTTTAACAAAACTTCACAGGACTGCATAAAATTACCTTGCGCTGGTTCTGACAGCGCCAAAAGTTTGGAAAAACACAACTGTTTTTGCACGAAATCAATTTGAAAACACGATAAAACACGATTCTGTCGCCAGAATGAAAGGGGGACAACTCATATCGAGTTATACTTATTATAAAACCCAGGTTGTTTGTTTGTGTGTGTGTGTGTGTGTGTGTGTGTGTGTGTGTGTGTGTGTGTGTGTGTGTTTATATGGGATCGGATTTCCTACATTTTTCAAACGATTTCAACAAAACTTCACTTTTTTTCGCAGGTAGTGTTTCTTTTTTCTTTATTTTTACATTCAGAATGCTTTAAAAATTCCATTTACATGACAATTGTTTATAATAAAATTCTATTCAAATTCAATCGATAGACTCATAACGATTGAAAACAATGTTTTTGTTTGATTTTGGGTTTGACCAATTCGTAAAAAAAAAAAAAAACTAATTAAGACATGCGTGTCCGTCAACCTTAAACAATAATCTTTGTCAATTTTATTTTTCAGACTTTATGATGGTCGATACTTGATCTATCTCTTACTGTTACATCCCCGGGTAACGCCGGGCTCTACTGCTAGTAAGCTATAAAGTACATTAGCGATTGTATGAATCAGAACTAAAAATTAGTCAAGTAAGGTAAAATTCAAAAACTCTTGGTTAGGAATTGGATAAGCATAAATCTTTATTCATGTCTACGCTTGTTAATATCATTCGTATGGGTTGTTCGCAAGTTGCTCTCTCAGAACACAGTGAAATCGTTTCTCATTGGATTCCTAACTACCATGGCTTTTTACCAGATTAAGCGAAGCGATTCATTAAAAAAATAATCATACCGCGCACTGAGCATCTTTTTATTTCTAACTAGTCTAATGGCGATAATAAATGAAAAGAATATTTACCGATAAATAAGTAATTCTGTTTCGTCTGAAAGTGTCGCTGTCTGGCCGTTTATAATCAGAGCATAGTATGTCTACGCTCTTTGAATAGTGTACGATACAAACATATACACACACATTAGTCCAGTCGACGGGGCTTGGAATAACCTGATTGCTTTCCTAATATAAAAACGTCGTGTAAGAAAACATGCAGGTTCAAGACTGTCATACAATGAAATGATTTCTCGAGAACTCACATTTCATGAAATCTAATATGTATTTTAATTTATGAGAAATTTAGCAAATTGCGTCATGATTTTTAAAAATACATTTAGGAATAATAGAGTGGGCTACATTGTTGGATCGTGCCTCGTTTTGAGTAAAGTAGGTAATTTTTTTTCTGTCAGTTTCGTTATAAAACAGATTGTGCGTGTCACACGGAGATGAGAACGCATTTTATTACAAAATTTGATCTAAAATTTAGGCGATAAATTGCTGCGTGTCAGATTCCATTTTCATGTCTCTATGATTTTTTTTCCCACTTAGTCAAAACAATCGTTTGAAGACTCTTTTCATGTGTGAGTATCAACACAATATCGAAAAGTATTTTCATGGTTTACAACACTATGCATCATCTACGCCGCCATCATGCATTTTAAAAATTTGAATTCCGTCGAACATATTCTCAATTGTAATAAATATTGTTAAAGAATCCGTTATCATGATTTATATTTATATAAGTTAATTATTATTGTTTACTGGCTAGTTAAAGCAGTTGCACATTTTTTTCACAGGCATCAAGATTTTGAATGCTTATTCGTAAGGCGTAGAGCAACAATTTCCAGTGGGATGATTAGCTCAGCACAATCCTGCCATCATGCGTACCTATGCCAGACTAATCAAAGTTAAGTAAATATCTCTGTGCTATTCTTTAAGTCGATTATTGGGTATTTCACTTTGTTTAAATTGCTGCCATTCTGTCTTTTTATATATATATATATATATATATATATATATATATATATATATATATATATATATATATATATGAATCTAATCCTACAGTGCCCTGCGTGTCGCTCGTTAGGATCAGACTAATATATGACACGTTTGATAGAAAATTGTTCACTCAAACTTGATGGCGTCTGAAGCTTTGTAAATGCCGGTGGCGCCATCTGCTGGCTGAATCCCGAAAAGAACGGAAGGCGTCCTTTGGTTTTCGACCGATATTTTCAGTCGGAGAGCTGTCAAGGCAAGTCAATGATCAAAGAAAGGATGGAAATATACGTGATAGGGAAAGAAAGAAGAAATGAATGAAAAACCAATGAAAAATGTCAAGAAAGAGAAAAAAAAAAGAATAAAGAGGAAAAAGTACGCAATATAGAAAAAATAGACAAAAAGTAAAAATAACGTAAGAAAGAAGGTTTAATGACTGGGGAAGCAAAAGAAAAGGAAATAAGAAAGAAAGAAAGAAAGAAAGAAAGAAAGAAAGAAAGAAAGAAAGGAAGAAGGAAATAAATAAAGCATAAATTAAAAAATGAAAAAAATATAGATGAAAAATAAAAACTTGAAAATTAAAATGTTCACCGTCGAAGAATTAAAAATGCCTGAAGAATAACAAATAAAATCAGGAAGAAAATTGATTTTATTTGGTTGGGAGGTGGCGGGGGTCGGGAGCAAAATGAAAATAAAGAAGATAAATCTGTAACTAATTTTAATACTAAAATAACTTCACTGCAAACAAGGTGATAATGCCACTAAGGCGCATGGAGTTACTGGGAGTAAAAAAAAAACGAGAATTGAAGAGAAAAGCCAATAAGAGGTTTCAGGTAGACAGAAGATGGCGATTGACGTTGAATTTAAATGTCTGAAACAATCTTCAAAATATAAGAAGCAAAAAACCGTAAGAGAATTACACAAGCGAGAAGTGTGAGAAAAAACTATCGGAATGGAATATTCTGTTACATCTAGCAGTAAAATAATGAGACCCAGTTGCTGATCTATTAATACGCTGACTTTCATGCAGGCGAGCTACCAAGGAGGAAAGCTCATTAGAACAATTGCCATGTAAACATTTATAGAAATTACAGAGTAAAGCCACGTGACGACGGTGGGGAAGTGACTGAAGTCAAGATGCCAGATCACTTCTTTGTATTTTTTCGACAATCCTGATATCTATAGCAGGGACGCCAGACCAAATATGGCAGAAATATTTAATGCATGGAAAAATGGTTGATTTATAAATATGTAAGATGGGTTCTGACGTGAAAAATTTTCTTGCACGACACAGTGAACCAACTTTCCTGGTCAGTAGACTTAGTAATTCATTTCAGGAGAAAACGTAAGCTGAAGAAGGCGCAATAAGGTGCTAGTAAGTTTGCCCCAGTTAAGCGCTGATTAGAGATCATATTCGAGAGCAGCTATTTCAGAGAACCTATCGGACTTACTACGCATTAATGTGAACTGATCTAGAAGCCGCTCATTCGACCTTCATGTCGCGATTTGTTTCGAACGATTGGATTCAACTAAATATTCAGACAGACACACCATAGCCCTTGAGCCTCTAGAGAAGGTTAGCATGCTAAATCCTGTCGAATGTCTCGAGATATCTAAAGGCCAGATCAGAAGGCCAGATCCGCGTAGGCCAGTCTTGGTCGGATCGAACTGTAACGATATGCAAGCTGCGCTCAACCGTGTGTAAGTTGCAGCACGGGGTGTGTATAAGACCATCAATGCCTCGAAGACCAAAGTTATACCGTCCCTTGTTGATCCAGTTAACTGGCAGCCACTGACGCTGGACGTTGTCAATCTGGAGGACATGCAGTCTTTCATCTATCTCGGTTCAACCATTATACCATCCGGGCAGGCTGCTGCTGATGTTGAATGCCGTATAGGGGCTGCAAGGTCCGCATTTGTGCGTCTCATGCGGTCACTATGGGGGCGACGGGAGATTTCCACGGCTATGAAGGGGCGCATTTATCAGGCTATTGTTCGGACTATCCTTCTCTATGGCTTCGAAACGTGGCCACTTAGAGCGGTTGACCTACGAAGGCTTGAAGTGTTCGACAACGATTGCCTTCGCTGCATTCTACGATGCCGCCGAATCGATCGTGTGCCCACAACCACTCTACATCATCGCCTGAGTCTCCGTCCTTTTC